ATCAGCTCGCTTAGTCATTCCACCTTGGCTCTGTGTCCTTCCAGTAACTTTCCACCCACATGAGCACCCCCAGCTTCCGTGTCCTTGGGCTGGCTGACCTGGGGGTCACGGGCTCATTCTTTCCTTGTGGCTCAGCCTCTGGAACTTGCCCCCACCTCCTCAACCTAGCACAGCTGCTTGGATTTCCCCCAGGAACCCCTAGTTCTCATCTCTCCAGAGATGCTGGGCATCTGCCTGAGGCTGACTGTAATCCCCAGTTGTCAGCAGTGCCAAGTTTTACACACACACACACACACACACACACACACACACACACACCCCACAGATCAGATGAGCCACAGGATTTGGTAAGAGAGTAGGGCAACCTTAGCGAGCACCATCTTCAAGGAGGGAGCGGCTGAAAGAGACGTGGAACAATTAAAGCAAAGAGCCCTGTTTTGAACAAGGTCATCAGGCAGGGATGGGCCCAAGGGGACAGAGTGGTGAGGTCATCCTGGGTAAAGGGGTGGCAGAAATGGGAAATTGGGTGCATGAGCAGGGACAACAGGAACCCAGTGTGTAGGGCTTGAGCCCCGCTCCTTTGATGATGGTGGGGCTGTGATCTTCGCCGCAGTTGCCCCAGTTTTGTGTGTCTCACTGTGGCCCATGGCAGGTGACAGAGCACTGACTATAGTGCTTGGGCCTTAGGGTCTGGGGACATGGGGCCTGCTCATAAAGCCTTAGGATGTCATTGCTCTGGGGGCAAGAAGGGCAGGGCCCTCAGAGGTAGGGTCCTGCCTTTGGAGCCTGACTCAGGCAGAGTGATTATGTTTGCCTCAAGGTGTAGTCTGGATTTTGGAGCAGTGGTCTCATAGTGTGCCTCATGGTGCAGCTTGGAAAAAGCTGAATCTGAAACTCTAGGGCGGGGGCTCAACATATACTTCTCTCATGAATCCTCAGGTGGCCACACTGTGCACCCCACTGGCCCAGGAGAGCTGAGCGCTCCTCCTCCTCGGTAGACCATTTCTGCAAAGCCAGGGTCAGGTCCAACTTGGCTCTTTCTTGAGGAGAATAGTTGTAGTCCATCAGGGCTGCTGTAATAAAACCATGGATTCGGTGGCTTATAAACACTGTTCCTCGCCATTCTGGAATCCGGGCTGCAGCAGGGTCAGGTTCTGATGAGGACCTCTTCCACATCCTAGACCACCTTTTGATCTGTGTCTTTACATACTGGAAGAAGGAGCTGTCTCAGGAGGATGCTGCTGTTTTTTTCTTTTTTTTTCCCTGTGGTACTGGTGATGGAACCCAGGGCCTTGTGCATGCCAGGCAAGTGCTCTCCACTGAGTTCCATTCCTGGCCCTTTTTAACTTTCTTGGTTTTTAATGACTCCGTCCTGTCTGTGGTACTGGGAGTTGAACCCAGGATCTTGTGCATGTAAGGTAAGTGCTCTACTACTGCTCTATGTGTTCAGCCCCCAACATTTTATTTTGAGACAGAATTTCATGCAGAATTGCCAAGCTTGGCCTCAAACTCCTGCTGTAGCCTCCTGAATAGCTGGGATTATGAGTGTGCCCTCATGTCTAGCTCTGGGACATCTTTTATAAGGACACCTCTACCTAATACCATCATCTTAGGGCTTAGGTTTCAACATATGACTTTGAGGGGACACAGGCACTCAGTCTGTAGCAGAAACGCACACTGCCCCTGAAGCTATGCCCATGGCAAGTCTACTGCAGGACCTTGGCAACATGCCTGGTGGCCAGTACTCTGTCCCTTTTTAGGTGTGTGACCTTGGGCAGGTGGAGCCTCAGTGTGTCCATTTGTGAAGTGGAGACGGTTAACATTTACTTTAGTTGCTTTCAGGCTCAGTGAGGCACCACACTTTGGGTATCTGGCACACAGTGGACTTCATAATAGGCAGATAGTAGGACTTACGGGCACTTCCCTTGTCCTTCTGTGGCAGCACTGACCTGTGATGCCTGCTCTGTTCTTCTGCCATTCTAAGCACGGCAGGCCCCAAAGTTACATCCTGGGCTGTGAGGTCGCATTGGCCACAGGGACCATATTTAGGATTAAATGTTCTACCTTAGAAAACCAGAGGTCACCTCTGTTCTCTTCCATTTCCCCTCCCTTCCCTCCCTAGACAGTCACCACTTAATCCAAAATGCAGCTTCCTCCCCATAGCCCAGATCCCCATCTTGCAGACAATTCTCTTGGTGCTAATTCTGTGGTCCGATCACATGCCTAGGCACCTCCTTCCTGGCTCGGCCTGGCTCTGCAGCCCTGCCAGCCGCCCGCAGCCCCTTGCATGACCAGCTGCACAGTCTAGACAGTGCGTGATCCTCCTCGAGTCTTGCTCCTGCAAGGGCAGCCCAATGTCACCGCCCCAAGCAGCAAGGAGTCACTGGCAAGAGAGGGCTTGGGAGCCAACACAGTGTTCCCTGTCAGATGACATCCCCAACTGCAGTGACACTGGTGACAGATGTGGAATGGAGTTGGGTGGGAGGGGAGGGGGCCCCAGCTGGGCTGTTTCTCTTCTGGGCTAGAGCCACCTGGGGCCTGATCTCAGTTTGGAAGAAGGAGAGCTAAATCCGGCTGCTCAAGACCCTCCCTTCTTCAAAGACAAGTACAAGCCATGCTGGAGGGACCCTTGGCCCTTCTGGCTGTGTCTCTTGTCAGTTCCCCTCTTTGGTCAGCTGACATTCAGCCTCTGTCCCCACCCCCACTCTGACACTGCTCTCACCTAGGTTACCAGGGTCCCCCAAATTGCTAAGGGCCAAGGGTCACGGGGCCAGAGCTGAGGGCACCCTCATATCTGGCTGGCTGTGCATTCTCAACTGCTGGCGCATCTTCCAGCCTCAGTGTCCTTCCACCTGACCCCTCCGTGACGCTGACCTAGAGCCCTGTCATCAGCCCTTGTCCCCACCTCTCGGGCAGTTTTCTCGGGGAACCGTATCCATCTACCCTACCCATACGTTTATAGCTGAGGCCCCCAGGCCTGACCCGGGTCTCGGCTCCTGACTTTTCCCCAGCTGTTCATGTGCCATGTGCCGCCTGGGTGTATCGTGGGGATCTCAAACCCAACTGTTGATCTCCCCCAGACCTCTCCTCTGGCTTTGCCCCTTCACTTCAGAAGTACCCACTATTCTAGAAAATTAGAGGAACAGATGGGAAACTCAGAGATACAGAAAAAAAGAAAAAAATTTTCATAGTTCGAGCACACAGAAGCAAGTCCTGGGAACGTTGCTTTCCAGGCTTCTCCCTATGTTTTTTGTTTTTTGGGGTTTTTTTTAATACCCTAATTTTCCCACTGACATTTTAGCATAAGAACATTTCCCTGTTATTAACGATTCTGCAGTCTTGGTGTTACAAGTCTTTTGTTGTAATACCAAGACTTTAGCAGGGATTATTTTAAGTGTTTGAAAGATAAGCATTACAGATACTCTAACAGTGCAAAAGGCCGTAAAGTAAAAAGCAAACCTTCTTCCCACCCCGTCCCCTTTGTCCCTCCCCAGGGCACCGCCGACACTATCCCATGCCTGTCCTCCAGTGCCATCCTGTGCCCACACAGGGTCATTCAGTTCTCTCCCTGGCAGTGAGCCGTCCTTTTCTCATTTAATAACCTGTCTTGAAAATCATCCCCAGAGAGCTTCCTCATTTTTTTCTAGACGCTTAGTACACCAAGGTACAGCCACCCCACGTTATTAAATCAGTCGTCCCTCTGCTGAAAGATGAGGGCTGAGCCAGAAAGCCCAGGGTGGGCTGTGGGCCTAGAAAAGACGGAATGGATGGGAGGGTGGAAGAATTGCTGAGTCTGGAGATAATGAGGAGAGGGGTTGAGGCTGAGGTAAGGAAATGGGTGACAGGATGAGGTACTGGTTGCAGGTCCAGGGTGAGTCTGCTCTAAGCTTGTTGGTACAGAGGAGAAGAGGGAAGCCAGTGACAAGGTGTTTTCTTTTCTTTTCTTTTTTCTTTTTTTTGAGACAGGGTCTCACTATGTAATTGAGACTGACCTGGAACTCACTATGTAGCCCAGGCTGGTCTCGAACTTACAGAGCTCCTCTTGCCTCAGCCTCCTGAGTGCTGGGATTACAGGTGTGCGCCACCACTCCCAGCTCGACAAGGTGTTTTCATTCAGGCTAATGTGAGCCTCAGTCACACGCCACAGACTGAGCCCTTGTGGGTAGGGATACCACACAAGCTGCCAGGCCAGAGATAGCTCTTTTCACTCAGCAGCCCTGAAGTGAGCATTTTTAGCCCCTCCTGAGATAGAAGCAGGTGGTAAAGGGCACACACTCACCCTGTCTACGGTGGAGGGCAGCCCATGGTTTGTCACTGCAGGGAGGGGAGCAGAGGACAGTAGTGCTTCCAAGATGCTCTTCACGCCAACACTAGGATTTCCTGCTCTGGTCATAGCTTCTTCCTAGACCTGTGAAGCCCAAGTGGCCAAGTCCCAGATGAAAGGGGCTGCCTGCCTCTAACCTGGCTCCTGTGCTCAAGGGTCTCACTGTAATTGAGACTGACCTGGAACTCACTATGTAGCCCAGGCTGGTCTCGAACTTACAGAGCTCCTCTTGCCTCAGCCTCCTGAGTGCTGGGATTACAGGTGTGCGCCACCACTCCCAGCTCGACAAGGTGTTTTCATTCAGGCTAATGTGAGCCTCAGTCACACGCCACAGACTGAGCCCTTGTGGGTAGGGATACCACACAAGCTGCCAGGCCAGAGATAGCTCTTTTCACTCAGCAGCCCTGAAGTGAGCATTTTTAGCCCCTCCTGAGATAGAAGCAGGTGGTAAAGGGCACACACTCACCCTGTCTACGGTGGAGGGCAGCCCATGGTTTGTCACTGCAGGGAGGGGAGCAGAGGACAGTAGTGCTTCCAAGATGCTCTTCACGCCAACACTAGGATTTCCTGCTCTGGTCATAGCTTCTTCCTAGACCTGTGAAGCCCAAGTGGCCAAGTCCCAGATGAAAGGGGCTGCCTGCCTCTAACCTGGCTCCTGTGCTCCCTTTGCTGCCAGGTTCTGCCCATCATTGTTTTCTTCAGCTGTGTCATGTCAGTGCTGTACTATATGGGCCTGATGCAATGGGTGATCCTGAAGGTGAGTTCCCATCCCCACGGCAGGGCTTTCCCACAGTCACCAGCTCCTAGGGACCACATCTTTCCAGAGTCCCTTGCTTGGGAGGTTCACACTCTCCCAGAATCCACTGCTTTCAGGGTCCATGCCCTCTTAGAATCCTTTTTCCTTAAGGTCCACCCCTTCCCAGAATCCTCTGCTCCCATTTTCACATTCTCCCAGACTCGACTGCAAACCAAACATTCATTCACACGTCTTTTGTTGTAATACCAAGAAATGGCATCAAAATCCATTATGATCCACATGGGTGAGAGTTTGCAACCTTGAGGCTACACTGAGTTGTTAGGGTATAAATTATATTTATACCCAAATGATCATGAGAAACTCTAATAGTGGCTTACACTGGCCAGATTTTAGCTGATATGTCAAATTCTATGCTTATGTTCATAAAATCTGCTGTATAAATCCAGGACATAAGAGACAGCAATGGCTAGCATTGGACCTGGCAAGAGACTTGGGTCTTAGCTGATGTAAGTCAGCACCATGGGTGGCTGCCAGCAATGCAGAAATAATCTGTGGTTACGTTAACAGCACACTCCGTAGTATGAGGCAGGTGACTGTTCCTAGACCTGGGGAGTGTGTTCCACCACAGGGATAGGACAAATGGAACTAAAAACTGGCCTTGCAATCACACCCTCCATGGAATGGTCGAACAAATAAGGACTGTTGGGCCTGGAAAAGAGAAAGTCAGAGCCAGGATGAAGAAAGGGCAGCTAGAGAGGCAGTGGAGAGAGACTTGCCGGGGTCAGATTTCATCTTGACTACAAGGAAGAGCTTGTATCTCACAGTATCTCCCAAACACTCTTCTGCACAACTCTGATTTCCCAATGTGTTAATAAATGTTATTAGGTGGAAGGATCCCTGATCAAATAATCTGGGGCAACTGGGTTAGACACATTGGTAAACAAATTTAAATAAGCAGGACTCTTACAGCCTTTACTAAGTTAATATGTATTGGTAATCTCCAGGGTGTGTGTGTGTGTGCCAGTTATCAAATATATTTAGCTAAGCAGATGGAGAACACACATTCTAGAAGCCATGCTCTAGTGACTGAAAGTATCGTAGTTAAGTTGCATATCCTGACAATGGTCTTGGGAAGTGGTAAGCCCTCCTTAGTGGAAGAAGATGAACGGTGGACTTTTTGGGGAATGCAGATGAGGGGCTCTGTCTTAGTCTACTTCCTGTTGACCTAACAGAATACCACAGAGTAGGTAATTTGGGGGGCAGTACTGGGGATTGAACTCGGATCCTTGCACTTGCAAAGCAGGCGCTGGAACCACTGAGATAAATCCCCAGCCTCAGACGAGGTAATTTTAAGCTATAGGGTTTATTTGGCTCATGGCTCCAGAGGCCAGGCAGTCCAAAAACATGGCACTGGCATGGGATGAGAGCCTCCATGCTGCCAACTCCATGGCAGAAGGACAAGCAGGCTTGTGAGACACAGAGAAGGGTGGGCAACACACTTATCCTCTTATTGGGAGTCTGCTTCCCCAGCACTATAAGAACAGAGCTGTTGTGACCTAAGTGTCCCTGAAAGGCCCCACCTCTTGATGCAGTTCAACTTCAGCCTGAGTTTTGGTGAGATATTCAGTGTAGCAGGGTCCTGCGCTGGATGCAGAGCTGGAAGGAGACTTGGGAACGACTCCCGCCTTGGATTTGCTCACTCTATGGCCCGCTAGCATCAGCTCACCGGGAGTACCTGCTTCCTCCCCAGATTGCCTGGCTCATGCAGATCACCATGGGCACCACGGCCACCGAGACCCTGAGTGTGGCAGGAAACATCTTTGTGAGCCAGGTGGGTGCTCCTGCTCCCCAAAGAGGGCAGTGTGTGCTGGGTCCCATCTCTGATTCAGTTCAGGGAATGTTCATGGGAGCCTTCTCATGGGGTCGCCGGAGGCTGCTGCCCTGGGGTGCCTGGGGTACTTCACTGGAGGGGTTGCCCTCTCCTGGGCTGAGACCCTCACAAGTCCTACATGAGGAAACGGAGGCTGGAAGGGGGGTGATGTGGCCGAGGTCCCACACAGGTAAGCCAAGATTGGAATCGGGTTTCCTCCTTCCTGGCTAGGGTTTTTCCCTCTATATCATTTTGTCTTTCTTTCCTTTCCTTCTTTCTGAAAATGTATTTTCCAAAGTTCATGTGACTCCTGAGTCCCTTCAGGCCTGATTCCCTGACAGGGAAATTCTGGAAGCCTTCCTAGGGTCTGCTTGGCCTGTCTGCTTCACTCCCGAGTCCCAGAGAGACATGCTTGCCAAAAGATGCCTTATTTCATCCAGTAGTTTAGGAAGCTTTGGAGAATTTTTGTCTCTTTTTTTGCTATAATACAAATGAGTTGATCTCACAGGTTCTTGTTTGTTTGTCACCAATTAAGACAGATGTCCTCTCAGATAAGTCATCCCCAAAATTCCTTCAGATGTCCAAAATGAGACAAAAGAGGAAGAGAACCCTGAGACACAAATTATCATTTCGCATGAGAGGCTGCAAAAGCAATTCATCTCTGCTGAGAAATATAAATTGTAGTGCATGTGACATCAGGTAACACAAAGAGCCACCAAGGTCAATTAGCTTTGGACAAGTTGTCAGTCAAGTTGACCAGATTGCCAAGTCTTTGCCTCATTTCCCTCAAGGGGAGAGGATGGATGTCTTCTCAGAGTGGCGGCACCATTGCCAGAGTCCGTATGTGCTCCCAGAACACCATAGCAGCCCATGGCTCCAGATGCTTTCAGTGTCCCCCATGTCCCCCCTGGAACCCTAACCCATCTTCTGGACTCCGGACCAACACGCCCATCTGGCCTCTTGACTTTCCACTCGGGGCGTTCAGATTGAATATGTGGGACCTGACCAACAGGACCCCCGATTCCCTCTCTCATCACAGGAATGCCCTTCTCTCTGCTTCCACCCCACCTCTCTGTGCCCAAGGGACCTGTCAGAACCACACGTATGTAGCCACAAGGTCATCCAATTGCCTGGTGCGCTCGAGGCCTGGGTTCCACCCCCAGTACCCCAAAAGCAAAACAGAACTGGGTGAGCAGTGAGTAGCCCTGAAGTGAGCCCAGCCTCTAAAGCTCAGCTCTTCTCTGTGGCAGCTCCATGGCTCTGCCAGAAGCAAGGTCTGGAGTTAGACCTGCTGCCATGATGGGTGCTGCTTCCTGGGCCTCTGTCCCCACTCCTGGGCACTCTTGGGGAGCCAGTTTTGCAGAGGTTGGGAGGAAGCAGCAAGGGGCGTGGTGGGTGATGGACCTGCAGTGGGCCCTATACACAGGGGAGCCTGGGTCCTGCGCAGAGGGGACCGACGCCGAGGGTCAGAGGCTGAGAGAGCAGTCACGTATGGAACAGTGTTCTCCCCACCTGCTGCCCCCTCCCCTGGGACCCCAGTACTCACTGTGATGTATCTGATGCCTGTCCTGTTTGCAGACCGAGGCCCCCCTACTCATCCAGCCTTACCTGGCAGACATGACACTCTCTGAGGTCCACGTGGTCATGACCGGGGGCTACGCCACCATTGCCGGCAGCCTATTGGGTGCCTACATCTCTTTTGGGGTAGGTACAGCCTTCCCTCTGCTGGGCTCTTCCAAGGGCCTGAGGCTACCTTTGTAGTAGTCCCATACTGCTGTGGGCCAGAGCAGCCCTGGAATGTTCTCCCTGGGGCCTGACACCCCAGGTGGGTCTGAGGGAAACAGGCTCTGCTAAGCAAGATCCTTAGGGCTCCATTACTGAGCACCTGCTATGTACCAGGTAATGTGCTATGAGTTTTAATATCCCCATTTTACAGATCAGAAAATTGAGGCCCAAAGCCAGGATCTGAGCCCAGAATTGACTCCAAATCTCATGTTTATTTCTCCACAGTCCCATACCTGTGATCTTCCCTAACCCCCAACCTTTCCTCTGCTCCTATATTTTTTTTTTGTACCGGAGATAGAACTCAGGTCCTTGCACTTGCAAGGAAGTCATCAGAACCACTGAGCTAAATCCCTGGCCATTCTTTTTTTTTTTTTTTTTAAATTTTTACAAGCGCATGCTTGCAGTGCATAATGATCACATTCATCATGGGGAGTTGTTACATGTACACAGGGTCAGGGATTTAGCTTAGTGACGCCATGCTGACCTTGGCAACCACAAGATCCTGAGTTGGATCCCTGTGACAAAAAAGAAAAGAAAAGAAAAGAAACATGTACATAACATCTCTTAGTTCTTTTTACTTCTCTTCCCCTCCCTCCATCTCTTACTCCTCTTTCCATTTGCAAAAGTTCTGTCTTCTTGTTTCCTATTATTCTTTTGTTGTTGTTGTTCTGGTACCGGGGATCGAACTCAGGACCTTGTGCTTGCTAGGCAGATGCCTCTTAGCTCCATCCCTGGCTCTGTTATCTTTTATGTTGTTCTTTAAATCATTTATACCTTAGGTTTCTCATATAAGAGAAACAATGTAATAAATATTTAAGCTTGTGTATCTGATTTACTTCACTTAGCATTATGGTCTCAAACCACATCCATTTTTCTATAATTGACTCAAATTTATCTTTATGGCAGAGTTAGTACTGTACTGTGTGTGAATGCCATGTTTTCTTTCTTCATTCATCTGTACACATAGAGGCTGCTTCCAAGATGAAGCTTTTATGAGTTATGCTGCTATAAACATGGGTTGCATGAATCCCTGTAATATGATGTCTTTAACTCTTTCAGGAAGATACCCAGAAAGGGAATGGCTGGGTCAAACAGAATTTCTTATTTCAGTTTTTTGAGGACTTTGCCATATTGATTTCTGTAGTGGTTGCACTCCCACCAGCAATATAGAAGGATTTCTTTTTTCTCTTGCAGACTAGACAGTATTTGTTATTATTTTATTTCTTTCTTTCTTTGTCTTTTGTTGTTGTTGTTACTGGGGATAGAGCTCGGGAACTTGCACTTACAAGGCAGGTGGTGGCACCACTGAGCTAAATCCCCGGCCCCATTATTTGATTTCTTGATGGTGGCCATTCTTTCTGGAGTATGTTGGAATCTCAGCACTGTTTTAATTTGCATTTCTGTGATGGCCAGGAATGATGAGCCTTTTTTCATGTATTTATTGGCCATTTGTACTTCTTCTAAGAGGTATCTTTTCATTTCAACTGCCCATGTTTTTGTTTTTGTTTTTTGGTACCAGGGATCAAACTGGGGACCTTGCACTTGTGAGGCAGCCACAGTGCCAATGAGCTAAATCCCTGGCCCTCAACTGCCCATACTTTGAATGCTTCTTTTCTTTTTGGGGGACCTAATTTTTTTGAGTTCTTTATAGAGTCTACATATTATTCCTCAGTCTAAGAAGTAGCTGGCAACACTTTTTCCCATTCCATAGGTTGTCTCTTCACTCTGTTGGTTGTTCTATTCTCCGTGCAGAAGAAGCCTTTTGATTTGATATGATCACCTTCATTGATTCTTGATGTTATTTGTGCAGTTGTGGTTCTGTTTAAAGTCTTGCCTATGCCTATATCTTTGATAGTTTGACTTATTTTGTCTCCCAACAGATTAAGCATTTCTGTTTTAATAGGTCTTTCACCCATTTTAATTTCAGCTTTGCACATGGTGAGAGATATGGGTCTAGATCCAATCTTCTGCAAATGTTTGCCAGTTTGCCCATCACTATTTATTAAAGAGAGTATCTTTCCTCCAGCTTATGTTTTGGTCCTTGTCAAAGATCAGATGGCTGAATGTGCCTGAGATTGTTCCTCCATCCTCTGTTCTGTTCCACTGACCTACATGTCTGTTTCTGTGCCACTGCCATGCTGTTTTTATCATTATAGTTTTGTGATATAACTAGAAATCTGGAGCTGTGATTCCTATTGCTTAACTCTTATTGCCCAGGATTGCTTTTGCTGTTCTGTGTCTATTCCATATAAATCTTAGGATAGTTTTCTCTGGTTCTGTGAGGAATGCTTTTGGTATTTTGATTGGTATTGTATTAAATCTATATATAGTCGCTTTCTTTGTAAGGTGCTTGTATTACTTAGCCAGAAACTTAGAAAGGCAGATGTGTTTTCTTAGCTTTAAAAATAAAATCAGCTTTAGAATTCCATATGGTAATATGCAATGCAGCAAAACTACCTTTAGTAAATTATTTATTTCATTGTTTTGTTTTTTATGACGTTGAGTTTTCCTTTCAATAATGAATAATGTGAGCAGCCTACAACTTTGTTCTGTTACTGGAGTTACAGTTTGCAGATACACATTAAGAAAACTAAGGGAACATCTGGGTGTGTACATGTTTTTTCTTTCACTGATGTTTTTTATTCAAAGTAAGAATAATGATCATTTTCTACATCTGGCAGCCTCACGTTACACACTTGCACAAGGGTGTTGAGACTAAAATTAAGGTTCATGTAAAGGCCCATAGGCTCAGTGCTTCCTTGTGATTCACTGATTTCTGTCCTTTGAATCTTCTTGTGAGAATGATTAGTTGAAGTTGAGTCTAAATTCAGTAAAACATATTGAGTCTGAGTACAAAAAAAAAAATCTATATATGAGTTTGGTAGTATGGCCATACATACAAACAATAACTGTATTGTTTCTGCCTGTCCAGAAACAGAGGATGTCTTTTCATTTTCTGATGTTCTCTTTGAATTCCTTTTTCAGAGTACTGTATTTTTCAGGTCCTTGTGCTTGCAAGGCAGGCAGCAGCACCACTGAGCTAAATCCCTGGCCCAGAGTACTGTATTTTTAATTGTAGAGTTCTTTGACGTCCTCGATTAGGTTAATTTCTAAGTATATAATTTTTCTTGAGGATGTTGTGAAAAGTATTTTTTCTGATTTCTTTTTTGGTGAGTTCATTATTGGTATACAGGAATGCTATTGGTTTTTGTGTGTTGATTTTGTATCCTGCTACACTGCTGAATTTGGTTATCAATTCTAGGAGAGTTTTGGCAGGAGTTTTTTGGATCTTCTGTGTAGAGAATCATGTCATCTGTAAACAATGACATTTTGATTTCTTCCTTTCCTGTACATATCCCTTTTGTTTCTTTCTCTTGCCTATTGCTCTAAAGTTTCAAGTACTATAATGAACAGGAGTAATGATATAGACATCCTTATCTTCTTCCTGATTTTAGAGGAAAAGCTGTCAGTTTTCTTTTTTACTTAATATAATGTTTTCAGTAGGTTTGTTATAAATGGTATCAGATTCCGATAAGGTCCTTCTACATCTGTTTTCTTCAAGGTTTTATCATGAATAAGATGTTGGCTTTTGTCAAAGGCTTTTTTGGCATCTCTTCAGATGATCATGTGATTTTTGTTACTGTTTATATTTACATGATGAATTACATTTATTGATTTATAGATATTGAACTATCCTTGCATCCCTGGAATGATGCCTACTCGGTCATGTTATATGATCTTTTAAATCATTTGTGGATTCCATTTGCCATTAGCTTGTTGAGGATTTTTGTATATATATATTCATTAAAGAGATTGGCTAGTAGTTTTCTTTTTTAGTTGAATTCTTGTCTGATTTTAGAATCAGGATAATGCTAGCTTCCAGGAAGGAACTGGTGGTACTCTTCCTCTTTCCATTTCATTAAAGTTTGAGGAGTCTTGCCATTAGATCTTCTCTGAAGTTCTTACAGAATTCATTGGTGACTATATCAAGTCCTGGGCTCTTCGTAGTTTGTAGGGTTTTTATAACTGCCTCAATTCCATTGCCTGTTACTGGACTGTTCAAGCTTTTTATATCTTCTTGTTTTATATGTATCTGGTACATATTCTGGATTTCAGTGGTGTTTGTGTGATTTTGCCTTTTTTGTTTCTAATTGCATTCAGATGGGTCTTTTCTTTCCTTCTTTTGGAAAGATAGGCTGAGAGTTTGTCTATTTTGTTTATTCTTTTGAAGAACTAGCTCTTCACTGATTCTTTGTATTATTTCTTTTGTCTCAATTTCATTAATTTCTACTATAATCTTCATAATTTCCTTACTTGTACTAGTTTTGTATTTGGATTGTTCTTTGTCTTTCTAGGACCTTGAGGTGCATGATTAAGTTATTTATTTGGGCTCACTCTGTTTTTCTGATGTGGGCATTCACTCTGTAGACTTCTGTTTTTGCGCTGCTTTCATTGTATCTAATAAATTCTGGTATGTTATACTGACATTATTCTAGAAACTGCCTAATTCATCCTTGATTTTTTTTTCTATGACTCATTGATTATTCAAGAGTGCATTGTTTGTGGTTTCTTTTGCCACTGATTTCTAGTTTCATTGTGCCTTAATCTGATAATATGCATGAGATGATTTTGAGTGTTTTGTATTTATTTAAGCTTGTATGAACTAGTATATGATCTATTTTGGAGAAAGTTCTCTGTGTTGCTAAGAAGGAAGTGTAGTCTGATGTTAGATGGAACAGTGTAGATAGACATTAAATGCATTTGTTAGAAGGTCTGGTTCAATTTCAATAATTTTTTTGTTGATTTTTTTGGTCTAGTTGGCCTGCCTACTCGTGATAGTGGAGTACTGAGTCCCCTGATATAATTGTGTTGATATTTATCTGATCTTTCATGTCCAGTAGTGTATGTTCTATAATGTT